AGTGATTATAGCTACCTACCATCCAGTCAACCCTGACTTATGATGACTTTAAGTACGACATAACAAAACATTGTCCAATTCTGTGTCAACTTCACAATTACTGGCATATTTGGGTCCATTGTTGTGCCTGTTAGGAAAATACATGTCACCAAAGATCGCTCATGCCCTCATTGACCTCTACCAAGTATGGTGTTTTCCTCAAGTTATTGATGTGTCCAAAACAAGTGCACTGGACAATGTTCTATTGTGATCCATAAGGTTTTCGTTAGCTATTCTTTTAAGTAGATTGCTAAGAGTTTTTTCCAAACTTCACTAATCAGGAGGCTTTGTTGAAAGCTTTCCACCATGGGTGATTCTGGTAGTATTTGAAATATTGGTGCAATATCTTCCAGCATCACAACAATGCACATGCCACCAAAGTATGACAGACTAAGAGTTGAGTGGTAAATTTACACAATATTATGTTGTGTATCAAAAAGCTGGGTGACAACTGACTGTGGACTAGCTGCAGCAGCATCCAGGTAAGGGGAGGGACACAGGCCCCACCACCAAGAGGCAAGAAATCAGGGGAAAGAAAAGCCAGGTGATGACTGACTAAGAAGCAGGAGGATCCAGATAGGGGAGGGCAGAGAGGTATTGAACAGCTAAGGGAGACAAATTTGTCTGTCATTTTGTCATACTGTGGTGGCTTGGCTGTTGCTATAAGGCTTGAGGCTGTGCCAGTGGTGTTTCAAATGACAGCAGTGTTGCATATGGTGCATAGGTTTCATCGCAACTTACAGAATGAGACAGCCTAAGAAGAAGGAAGAGACCATCCACTTCTCAAAGAAATGGACAGGGAGAGCCTTATGAATAGCAGATAAACACTGTCTGATACACTACTGTGCAACTTTATGAATAGACTAGAAACATTTTCTGATACAGTGCAGAAGGACAAGCCCCTTAGGTCAGAAGGCTCTCAAAATAAAACTGGGAAAGAGCTGTATCATCAGAATAGAACCAACCTTACAGATATGGATAAAAGAAAGATTTGAGCCCTTCATTAGTTGATGTGGCATGGTTCCAATTGAGGAGAAACAGCTGCAAACATCTATTGATAATGAGAACATGGAATGAATGAAGTATGAATCTAGGAAAATTGGAAGTTGTAAAAAATGAAATGAAATGCAAAAAGATTAAAATCCTAGGCATTAGTTAGTTAAAATGGACCAGTTTTGGCCATTTGGAATCAGACAACCATATGATCTACTATGCCAGGAATGCCAATTTGAAGAAAAATGGCATGGCAATCATCATCACAAAGGATGTTTCAAGATCTGTCCCGAAGTACAATGCTGTCAGTGATAGGATAATATTTAT